TGCACTATTAAATTAGGAGGAGCAAAGTTGAGCCTCTGTATGTCTCTTTAGTCTCCTTTTTCACCCCACAGCCTGTTGTGTGATGAGGACGTTCATTTAAAGAGTAGCAGCCATGCAGTTCACCTTTCATGAGAAATTAGTGCAGTAAGATGCTGAAAACATCGGTGAGGGTAGGTAAAGACTATCTATCTCTTAAATGTAATGTTATATAAGTCGAAGAAATATATATTTGTGTCGTAAAAAATCCCTCTAACCTTTCACATACTGACACACAAAACAAGTGGGGCATGACAAAAGGAGTAGTGTCAAATATCTAACACCGCCCTGCTTGTGGTCTATCAGCTTCCACACAGTAAAAAATGAAGATGTTCAGTTTATAGATAAAGAGACACATTTTTTTTTCATTCATTATTTTGGAATAGCATCGCTGATCTCAGGTGAATTCTTCACTCTGAAAGATGTCAGCTTTCAAAAATGTCAGAAAACAGATCTGTACATTAATGGTGTGGTGATACACCAATATTGACAATAACTGTGATATTTTAAAAATGAAATATTGATATTGTGTTAATATTACACATAATAATATCATGATGGAAAATGTTAGGCTTTGTTTTTATTTCAGTCTTTTCACTATACATTAAGTGTAATTGTTCTTTTTGTACACTTTTTTACAGTTATGGTTAGAGACTCTCTCTCCACCCCCCTACACTTAAATTTTAGTCTAATTCATTTGCCAAAAAAAAGAGACAAAACACACAGTAAACAAAATGAAAGACAAATTGGACTGATATCATTTGTTTATATAGTGTTTTTCAAACACTATATAGAAATATCAGGATAATATCATTATCATGAATTCTTTTGGCCACAATAATCATGTAGTGACATCAGCCCTACTGTATATAGTTACTGACTCACTAAATCTAAATGCAGCCTTATGATGCGTGCACACACACACACACACACACACACACACACACTTTGTGATTCATCAGTAGCTAAAAGGATCTTTTACACTCCTCACTCGTTAAGTCCAAGGTATAATTTTCACATGAAGAATAACATGAAATGTCCACTGGAAACTATTCTTAAGTGACTGGTCTAAGGATGATGACAAGTCCTTGAGTCTGTTTTCTGTTTACAGCAGCCTGCCTGTGTTACCAGTGTGGATGAGCTTAGCTGGATCACTGCGAGGGGAATAAATAGGTGAAGACATTTCTTCTCACAAGTTCCTTATAAGGAAGTGATTCTTTGCTGTATGTTTTCATGTTTGTTTATTTGACTTGACAGTTATACAGATGGGAACGTGTAAATATGAGAGCGATATCAGGGTAACAGAGGGAGAGCTGCCGACTATGGAGCTGAGGAGGCGGGAGTGGATTTTATGGTTATTTATTGATTTCACAGTTTATATGCATGCTTTCATATATTTTTTTGCTTTTATGTATTTGCATGATTTTATTTCTAATGATTTTATTTGTATTATTGCTGTGTTTTGATCATTGTTTTTTTTTATTATTATTATAGATCGAAGCCACCGCAGAGTTTGCCCGAGAAAAGAGAGCCGGCTCTGTCTAGCAAGTGCACAGACAGATGCACAACAAGACGAGCAGAGGGAGGAATCGGGAGCCAGAACGAGCATCTGAGAGGCAGCAGCAGCCCGCCGGTCAGCAACGGAATGACATCCATCAGCTAACCACTTTGTACCTCGAGAAGTGATAGTGAGTCGCGGTAGCATCCAGTCTCCCCCCTTAGTTCAGCATGAGAGTTTGAAGAAGTAGAGCTGCCCAGGCAGTAAGAAACCATGCTAAGCTGCAAAGAAAAGAAGAGATAGAAATAAAAGCAATACAGGAGTTAACGTTATATTGCTTTACACCGACAGTTCTTAGCAAGTGAATGAAGTTTGATGCCAAACTCACATCGTTTCCTCTAGACTGTTAAGTAAACAGCTGTGAATGCTAACAACTAATGTTGCTAAGGTAGCGATAGCAAATACTTACATATGGCACCTTTAATCAGCATGAATAAGTGGGAAGGTGAAGGAGATGTGTGTGATGTTTCCTTAAAAGTCCATCTGGAAATAGATAAGCACATGGTTACATTTTCTAATTTAAAGCATGAAAGAACACATTTCACTATATTGTACTCGGACCTTTGCTATGAAGCAAATAAAAAATAAAGGAAAAAATGATTAAAATGTATTACACGGTAAACTGTAAACAGCCCGTTGACTTTACAAAGTGATAAAATAAAGTGTTAACTGAAAATGCCTCTTGCAGGTTAACATTGGTACACGCATGGACACACAATCAACCATATGCAAAGTAAAGCGAACACACACACACATGCAGCGATGCACGTGCACACATTTTGTCTTGATTTAGCACCAGTGTTCCTGTCCACTCTCGTCAGCTGACAATAAATTATAAACACATTCCTTCACCGCTCTGTCACCAGGAGAATTTATTACCATCCACACTGACAGCTTTGATTGGACACAGTTCACAGCTTCAGAGATTCCTGGAAAGCCACGTGCTCATGAGGGAGCTCACACACACATCTTGTGCAAAACACAAAGACACACAAGTAGAAAACAGCCACCTGGACTAATATAGAACGATACAAAGATATTAGGTTCAGCTTCTCCAACAAATGCAACATTTTTTGAAGTGTATAAAAATAATAGTGAGTAGGTGACAGAGAGAAGAAAAATTATGAAAAGATTAAACTAAAAGCCTGAAATAGTGCTTCAGTGTCTTTTGTAATACAGAGGTTAAAGCTCAGTGTGATTAATGAGACAGTCAACACACCCACATGCATTTATATCATCATTCCCTCCGCCCTGTTAGAGTTCAGTAAAGTGTTGTTTTTACTGTTATATATGCCTCCTCTCATCTTGTCATCTTATCAACTCTTAGTCATCCATCGTATGGATTCCTGCATAATTAATTTCTCTCCCTCTTAAAAGAAGGCTTATTCAAAAAATTCATGGTTTCATGGAGCATCATATTTTCTAAACCTCTCATCACTCTTTCTGGGATATATTGTATCTTCCCTGTAATGATATAGCCATCCATCCTGCCATCAACACACTTCCATGTATTGAATAAGGGCAAGGGTTTTGGTTTAACAGAGTCAGCAGAGCAAACAAGACGTGGATTTCCAGAGCAGCTGCCACCAGCTCCCTCTGCTGGATCATTCTAGCCAGCTGAGAGGTATAAGCTGTCCCCCACACTGATACATCAGGGACAACCTCTTCAACAGGAGAGACCTCAGTTTATTAATCTGAGTATGTAGTTACAGTAGTTTGACTCTGAGATCCTCCTGTGGATTAGTGACCAACAGATAAAGTGATAAAGCTTCTCCTACTGCACAGGCCTCCAAGCTAGCTCAGCTAGGCTAATATTCAGTATTATCATGCTAACCAAAACTGCTTGTCATACAGTAATGTTGCAAATATATGGTGTTACTGTACATAAACAATTTACACTAACAATTCTCTGTCAGTGGCATATTGCAACCTCATAAAGTTGTTATGGTGAACAAACAGTGGCTTATTTATACTGTACATCCAGAAGATACACTGCAACATTAGTTTTCATTTGGATCTGATTAATCTAAGTACAATATTCACTCTATTTCAGATCTGTTTTTGTCCTAACCAACTCCTGAAAGTAATATCTGAGTCATTAGCAGCAAAATGCTCCGCTGTGTTCAGGAGCTACGTTTGTCTGTTGTCTGGTCCTGGGCTGGTAGCGGAGAGGTATATCACATACTTCTTTTGTTGAAATGCTGACATGGCTGCTAAAAGAACAGTAAATTTGTGGGTTGTAAAAATAATACAAAAAGATGCTTAAGGGAGCTGCACAGACAGGTGGCTTTCACAGTGCACAGTCATTGTTAAATTAAAAGAAACTTTATTAGTGCAGCTTTAAAAGACATTTTGTCACACTCGCTGAAAGTATGGGTGACAAAAAGTGGCCCACATGTGCACGCTTTTAATTACACAAGCACTCATCCAGAAAGGGGCCCCTGGAACATGTTTATTGTTCATTCATTCTTTCATTCTCATTTATCTGGTGGCCCAGTAGAAGTGGCCATATGGAGGCACGGCAATGTCGAGGGACAACATGATAAAACCGACCATTCTCTGCAAACCCGCTTGACTGTGAGAAGACAATAACTCATTTTCCAGGTTGTCACTACAATCCAAAATATTGACTGGATTTTTACCAATATTTGACAGAGAATTAATTTCCTGCTTTGACAAGAAAAACACGTATTATAGTGACTGAAAATAACATTTATTCAACTATTAAGAATTGTCACACATGTGTCACAGTGACAGGCTATTGTAGTAATAGAAAGTTAACAGTGTAAACATTTTATACAGATGTTCTGATAGGAACAAAATGAGCTAAATTCCTGTAATAGTAAAAATTGATTGTTGTGTTTGAAATTGATTTGCCACTAGAAATACAGCAGAAATGTATCTGAGGTAAACGCTGCCTTAATTTTAATTCCACTACAACAACTGAAACAACAGCAGCTTTGACAGTAAGAGTCTGTGTTCATTCAAATATCTTTTAGCAAAACTTACAGACATCAGAGTAAAGCAAGTAATGTCAAAATGATATTGTTCTTAAAGAATGTGCCCTGTGTTTTACACATACACCATCGATTTTATGTTTTTGAAAATGCATTTTTGAGTAATTGTTGAGGTAGCAGTTTTACTTCCTCACGAATATTGCTTATTGAAATCAACCCTACCTAATGCATGTGAAGATTCAGTCAGTATAAATATAAATGTTTTGTAAATAATATATATTGTCTGTTCATCAGGACCAAACATAATGATTGTAAAATAAATGTGAATAACAGGACTAGGAACCCTAATAAGCTGGACCAGATGCCCAGTGAAGCAGTGGCACAACTGCCATCTACATTATTTTCAATTTTCAATTTTGTGCCTCAGTTTATTTCTTATCATTTTCTCACTAATCATCAATGGCAGTGGATGCTGTTGAAGCATTGACCTCAGTGGCAGCTGTAGCGAGTGAGGCCGAGGTCCCAGTTGAGGTCCCATCGCGGGGTTTGGAACGGGGCCTCATCATTTCTTCTGTGTTGCGTTCAGGTTTGACCAAGAGAACGTAGCACTTGGGCAGGAAGATGCAGGTCAGCAGGCCAAAGCTGGAGGCCAAGATGGCGAAAATCTGGACAGCTACCATGAACTTTCCACGTGTGCTGAGGTAAGCCGGGACAAACGAGATCCACACAATGAAGAAGACGAGCATGCCAAAGGTCACGCACTTCGCTTCGCTGGAAGACAGATAAAGAAAGGCATGTATATGCTTCTTAAGTGTTGAAAGAGGAGTTTTTTTAACACCAAGATGGTTCGAAAAGAGGATTAATGCTCTGAATCTCAAAGGTTGGGAAAAGACCGGAAGAGGAACACCAAGGAGAATAATCTTTCACACTTATTGTCCTTTTATTTGTGTGTTTGCACCATCTGTCTAAGTTTATATAATTCCTACTGATATGCGCACACAGCCAAAATATTATTTCGCATAAACAGAAGTGTCTGTCAAGAAATAATCCCCCTATAATTTTACACTGTATATTCAATACTTAATGAATCTATCTCTATGCATAGAAAGATCTAAACAAGATAGAGAAAAAGATAAAGTCGTCATAACTTCAAGGCATAAATATTCTGTAGGGTATTGTTTATTTTCATTGACCCCAATGGGCCAGTGGCTGTGGTGATATTAATGTAACTGCTCATCTGTTGTCTACCTGAAGTGGTCCTCCAGCTTTCGGGCTATGAAGGCAAAGATGAATGCCAGCAGAGCCAGCAGGATGTCATAGCCGAAGATGCAGCAGATGAAGACCACAGAGCCTTCATCACACTCAAGAATGATCTTTATATTCTGGGCTGAAGTATTTTTGACAGGGTGTGGAGGGAGGACGATCAGCCACACCGTGCATGCGATAGCCTGGATGATAAGGTAAGTAAAATTATATTATAACATCAGACACTACTAGCATTAAGAGGTCAGAGTAAGATGTCAAGTGAGGTGCAAAGTCTTCTTTTAAATGTATGTACCTGTATTAATGTTGCCACAGCAGCTATTGCCCTCTGGTGGGCGCAGGTGAGAATGTCAACATCAGAGTTGGCGCTGGTGTTCACATCATTGTTGTTATTTGTGTTGGTTACAATGACATCAGGACTGCCGCTGTTGGCTGCTGCTTCGGCTGCTGCTTTTGCAGCTTTGGCAGCTGCTTTTGCTTTGGCTCGCGCTGCTTTCAGAGCCTGGGCTCTCAGCATCAACACTGCTGTCTTACCTGAAGTAAAAACATATCAGGATGCTACAGTGCAGTCTGTAGCCTTGAACAAAATCTGAAAGGGTGAAATAAGCTCAGCAGGGGGTACATTCATTTCTCCTGGTGACTACTGGAGATACTCAGATTGCAATAGACAGACCATTGCCAGGCAATACAGTGCACACACATAAAAACACACAAATGAGGTATACCTCTGTTGAGAGTGTACCCACCCATGATAGAGGAAAGGCAGAGAGCGAAGCCCAGAGCCAGGCCGACTTGGCTGGTCATGCAGCTCCAGTCCTGAGGCTCTCCGAGGAAGACGATGGAGGAGAGGAAGGTCACCACCAGCGCAAATAGCAGCGAGAAACTCAACAGAGGATCATTGGCTTTCACCAGAGGGGTGCTGATGTTCACAACAAACACCACCTGGAAAAAAGAAGAACACAAACACAATGAAACGCAAAATTTGACGGGATCTATTGGCCTCACTAGTAGATATACGTTTTCCCCTTTGTGATTCTCACCCCGACAGCGATGGTAACTAATGCTCCAAAGGCAGAGATGACGATGAGAGTGATCCCCAGTGGCTCCCCAAAGGCCAGGAACTCAATTATTTTTGCCACACAGATATCATGAGCATCATTGGACCAGTAGTCTCCACTGCACAGGATACATTCACGAGCATCTGTGTGAAGGAGAGGGTGATCAGAGGGTCGCAGGGTGTGTGTGTCCTTTATCACAGTCTCTGAACAGCGACAGCAGAAGTTACATGCTGTATCATTTGGTGACTTCAAACTGTCCAGGAGGACCAGTGGATACAACTGTCCTCTAAAACATGACAGGATTTATCAGCCTAAAATAAGACTGTTATGATACAGCACCGTTTCAGTGTGACATGATAGTGAATTGGAGTGTAAAATGTTGGCTTATTTTTGCGGCCTTATGAACACAACTTCCTCATTGTGATAATTGGCAATTTTTCAATAATGCATCTCCATATATTATAATAGTTTCAGGCTATGAAGTGATGAAATAAAACAGAGCAGTAATTTCTTCTGATAGATTCACTAAGATATGGCTAACTGCCCCCTTGTCTTGAACGTCTTCTTGTTGTTTGTTTATTTCAAATTTAAGAAAAAAGTGAAAAAAAGAAAAATTACCAAGGTTAATATTTCAGTTCAGACTTTTCAGGAAGATATACAGTTTGGAAAGTTGTATACTGACTAGTTGTGTTGCTGATCTCTCCGTCAGCACATGGGATACAGTCAAAGCAACAGACTGGCTCTCCCTGCCGGATCCCCTTCCTGGTGCCGGGCTGACAGTTCTCACTGCACACTGAGCGAGGAGGCTGCAACACACACACACACACACACAAACACACACACACACACACACATACACACACAAACACAGACTTGGACATATGCACGAACCAACTAATATTCTAGAAGAGCGTATGGTTAATTGATGTCTTAATCAATGTGCTCCTGACCTCCAGCACTTCATTGTTCCACACAATGGAGTCATTCATTATGGTCATCCTGTCCTCTGGGGCCGCTGAGCCATTGTAGCGTCCCACCGTGATGTAGTATATCTCCCCATTACTATTGACCTGCCAGTTAATGATGTCATAGAAGCCCTCCACATCCCCATCAGTGAAGTAGATCTCTTCGTTTGTGTTTGGCACTTTGAAACGCACGTTCTTCAGGTAGTACATCAGCTGAGGAGGAGAGAGATGGAGCCACATTTTACAACAGGTATAAGCAACAGTTTGAAATAATATGATTCACATTCCATGATCGAAAAGGGGCAGGGCCCCCTCCTCAAAACAAATAACGTAAATGGTGTACCACATATGATCTGCCAATGCTTTTAACAACCATTTGTGTGTGTGTGTGTGGCTTAATGAAAACATCAAAACACATAACACACACACACAAACAAAAAACTAAGCACAGAATTACTCATTTCACTCAATCATTCTTTATGTTTGGTTCAATTATTTGATTTGTAATATTTTCTAATATTTAAAATATTTAAAATGACTATCTTACCATAATCTTGTTTCCTGTCACACAGCACTTTAGGACACTTCTTGTCATACAGTAATGTGTGTATTTGCATAAAAGTATTTTATGCAACATAGCATTCATATACTGGTCTAACGTGCATATAAAAACAATTGTATTCTCTCTCTCTCTCTGTCTCTCACACACACACACACACACACACACACACACAAACACACACATGTACGTACCTGCCATGGCTCAAAGTTGGTGATGTCAGCACAGGTGCTCCCACTGAACGGCCCTTGTCCATTCACACAGTGCTCCAGGTTGTGCAAGGCGTGTGCCACAGCATACACTGCTTTGTATACACTGTGGGGAGACACCTTCATCATCATCATCATCATCATCATCATCATCATCATCATCATCATCATCATTCACAAGCAGATATCTCAGCACATGAAATTAAATCATGGCCAGGCGAGACTTTTTGGTTAAATAATGGTCAATCAGTGATATGTCACCAGTAGTAGAGGTGATAGACAGATACTAGGGACATAAAGATGACAGTGGTGACATTACTAACAGCAGCAGTCTGAGTGGTGAGAACTGACCTGTAAGTGATCCGTAACTGGGAAACATCAGAGTAAGTGTTGTTGAGCGGTGCCAGAGACTCGCTACCTGTACACAGCCCTTCAGGAACCCCCCTCACAGCCCGGGACAGTGTGCTGTTAACCTCCTTAGCCCTCTGTTTGGCCTGTTTCAGAGCTTTGCTGTAGTCCAGTGTGCAGTTAAATGCCTGTAAGACAAAAAAAAAAAAAATATTGTCAAAAACACCACTTTCTCTTGATCAATTTGAATATTTGTGTGTTTGGTAAGAAAAAAAAAAAACATGCTTTTTCAGTGTTTTCAGTTAATTGTCCCAGCAATTGTCAGACCCTGGATGTGGCCAGTCAATGAGTGAAGATAGATCAGTGGGCACCCAAAGTTCCCCAGGTCAGTTAAGCAGCTTAATAAACACACCGTCTCCCAGAATTCCTCAGTGAGTTGGTCAGCATAGGGGTCCAGGTCCAGTAGATGGCGCTGAAGACCAGGGATGTCAGCCCTCTTCACCCCAAAGCCTAAGGTACCACCCAGCACTGAGCTCACCTGGATAAAAACATGCACATCATCAGCCTCAGCTCAAACTGTGATGTATCATGTTTTGTTCAGACTGGTCAGAGCCTCTGGAACATCTGTAATTGCACTGTTTCTGTTCAAACATCAGTCAGTTGGTCACCCTTGCTCATCACTTGATTGAGCACTCACCCCGGGGTGGTTAATGAGAGCAGAGGTGACCCAGGCCTCGCTGGCAATCCAGGTGCGGTTGGTCACATTGTGCCGGAGGAGCTCAAAGATGAGAGGACTAAGGTCCACGTCTGATGAGAAGACCACGATGATCTTGGCCGTGGACTCAACTACAGTTTCAACAATACGCTGGATGTCCTCTGGGGAACTCACCTAATGTTTATACAAGGGGTAACAGGATTTAAAAAAAAACACTAATGACTTGTAATGTATTGATGTGATGACAATAACAGGTGGGATATTGATCAAATATTGATGAACTGATTACTTTTGGCAGGGTCTCAGAGAAGGAGATGCAGACACCAGCTTCTTCCACCTGCTCCTTGAAGTCTTTGATGCCGTACTTGCCATAATCATCGTCTGCAGCTATGGTGCCCACCCAGGTCCAGCCAAAGTGCAGCACCAGCTGGGCCATAGCTGTAGACTGGTGCTTGTCATTGGGAATGGTCCTCAGGAAGGTGGGGAACTGGAACTTACTTTCCAGGGCGGAGCATGTTGAACAATAGCTGACCTAAAGATAAGAGGACGAGCACGTCTCAGTCTGTTGACATCGCCTTGTCTTTATCTACCTTTGTGTCACTCACCACTGCCTTACCTGCGGGAAGTGATAAAGTCCCAGTATCCTGGCAGTGGCGATGGACAGATCGGAGCCCCCAGCGCCCACTAGAGCAGCCAGAGGCGCCCCACTCCCGCAGCGGTAGTTGGGTACAGCCTCATCTTGGCCTGTCAGGTAGGTGAGGGTGCCCTCAACGGCCTTGGAGATGGTGAAGCAGGAGTCATAGACAACGTAGCCCAGGTCGGTTTCAGGCAGCAGGTCGTTCCTCTCGTTTATTTCATTGATGGCAAACAGCATGGTCTGGGTCCAGCGGAAGGTGCGGAAGTTAAACCTGGAGGATGTTGGGAAGGTGACGAATAAACAGTACATTTATATAGAGATCAGTTTTACTCTACTGTCTGTTGTCTTTAACAGCCTCAAACGTTTGCATTTAGACAGAAAGAAAGAAAAATGTATTCATTCAATGCAGTATATGTGCAAAATTAACTTGATTGAAGATATACACAGACTATTGTAGTCTTGATGTTATTACCTAAATTACCCATGAGAGGACAGTTCACAGACTTGCTGGTTATTGTTGCATATCACTGTGTAAAGGCCTGTCTTCATAATAATATGGTCAACTGTAGCTAATTGGCCCCAGAGGTGCTGCCCTGCTATGTCTTGATTTCTGTAGTAAAATCATGAAGTTAAAAGGTCTCATGAGTACACAGTGAGGATGAAACACATAATTAAGTCACTCAAGTAAAACAATTTCTCATTTAATGGCTATAGAATTAAACTATTTGACTTTGATAGGAGTATAGGGTCATCTTTGACTAGTTTAATACACTCTAACAACAGCTTAACCTAAAGGAGACTGAACAAATACAGACACGATGATGAAAAACAGGTCATGTGAACAGGTCAAAGATGGCTCAACTCACCCCTCACACCCCGAGGAGACTGGCACCCTCGAAGTGTTGCCATCAGTGGAAGCAATACGCTTGTGAACAGAAAACATCCCCCCAATAACGACCTTCTTCCTCTCTACATCCTTGTAGCCGTTCAGATTGAACTTGGCCTTCAGCTTGCAGGTGGACTCTGCCGTAACAGACCTGTAAAAGTAGAAAAAGGCACATAATCCAAGCAAAAAGTGGCCGATTTCCATGCTATGTGGACGCTGAAAGGAGTCGGGAGAGCTCTCACTGTGGCAGACAGCAAAGTGTGACAGGTGTCTTATCTGCTCCCAGGGGAGATGTGCTGCACAAGGTAACCTGAGAACAGATTCAATGGTGCAAAAGTGAAGAGGAGGACAGTGGAATACAGTGACTGGCTGAGAGCATATTAATCTATATTTAATGTGAAACATAGACAAGAAGAATTTTGTTCATTTTGGTAAATACCAGAATATTATTATCTCATTAATGGTGTATATAGTCAAGTGTGGCTCAAAACTTGTTCCACTGGTTTTGTCACCCCCCAAGATCACGAATTGGATCCTGGACCAGCAAAAAGTAAAACAAACACAAACACACTCCTACGCCAAATAAATCCAATAAAACATCCCATCATTTCATTTCATCTCTCTGTGTTCTCTCTCTCTCTTGCCTCCTGTAAATACCGATCAGTTCATTAGTCGTAATCAGGTCAACTGCAGGAGACAAACTGCCACAGGCCATTGGTTAATTGGCGGCTGCATGTGCTAACTTGCACAGTCTTCACACAACATTATGGCGTGGCTACTGTTCCAAAATTGTGTCTCGTCCCCTGAGTGTGGGTCTGCGGTGTGCTGGATGGATGATTGAACTTGTCTGCTCTTGTCTCTCAGTCAGCGGGGACAAACACACACCTGAACCTCCGGCACACAGGGGGACCTCTGCCGGGTAACGAGGGCCGACTGCACACAAATAGGATCTTAATAAAATCAAATTACACTGTAAACTTCTCACAACAATATGGCTGTTTACAGTGGTTGTATGTCACTATTATAACATGATGTTATAATAAAGCGAAATTTGCTCACAGAAAGCAGGAATCTAAATAAAGGAAGGAGATACTGAGATGTATTTCTTGTGTAGTTGCTGATGATAAATGATTACCGTGTGTGTGTGTGTGTGTGTGAGTGTGCAATTGAGTCCTTGTGATCTGTCTCAGGCGCATGAGAGACACCTGAGTGATACTGATGAGTTCTGCAAGAAATCAATTATGTGCCGTCACTTACAAAAATGCTAATTTATAATAGCCCAGCCCCATGCAGAGACTTTTAAAGAGGCACATGTTTAAATGGAGGAGGCTCCAGCAGGTTGATTGGCTGTGTATTCAACATTTCTATCTGGAAGTTGTGCTATGACAACAACCACATGAAGAAATGAGACTTGTGAAATGAGGATTTTTCAGTGTGGTGAGATACCTTCACATGCATCCAGTGGTGAACAAAATTGTTGTGATATTAGTTATCTGGCTGTTATTGCACTTGGGGCTGCATTAAATGAAGTGAAATTGTTTCAGCATATACATATATATATATTCATTTATACAAAAAAATGCAACTCAGATAAAACATAAATTATGAGGTCAGGATATTTTAAGCATGGAGTGGCTTTATTCAAACTGTATTAACTTGGACCTCTGCTACGTCAATAGTGCATTAGAGTTCCTCGTCTACTATTTTGCACCTTCTCCATTTTATTGGGTTAACGTTTAATTGGTGTTTGGTGGAATTTTATCAGCAAGACATATCAGGTCAGCCTACCTCTAATATTATTTGTTGGGGTTTTATATGTTGAAGGTGATACAAAAAAGTAAGTATTTATTATTAAGTTATCTATTTCTTAGAGAAGAGGAAAATAAGTAAATGCGTATACAGTGAAGTCCACAGTAGATAAGTTGTAAACAACAGATGTGAGAAGTTTCAACATGGAGATCTTTATTAAAGCTCAGTTTTCCATTGTACAAATGTCGTCATGGTTGAAACTGCATGCAGTGGCTTGGTTTGAGGCACGTTACTAAGGAGAATGAGCATTGTAGAATAAAAACAAAACCAAAAAAAAAACAGACATAGAATTGCATAACTTAATCTTATCGATATTGCAATTAAATCCAACTACAAAATTATATGTATTATTATCAAGCTGTCATTTTCTATGGAGACATATGCAACATAAAAAGCACACATATAAAAAGGCAGAGGGAGAAACACTAATAGCAATTAAGACAAGTTAGGAAAACCATTCGTTTTGCATTAAGAGTATTTTGCCACTAAATCTTAAGGATATAACAGAGGATGAGAGGCACAAAGACAAATTCTGGAGGTGAGAGAATCACCATGTCCAAGTGAAATGTCTCTAAACGGGGTACAACACACTTTTTAAAACTCAGTTAAACCTGAGCACCGTATTCACTGAGGTCTAAATGACAAGACTGGAGACTAGAGGTTATGATGCGCTGGATGTTTTGACTGTACAAAACAGAAATAAATGACGTAATAATGCCTTTCTGAGACACAGTGAATTGAAATGTTAGAGATGGAAACTGACAGTACTCTTAACATGACCTTTGACACTAAAGAACGACACACTGTAGTTCCCACTCGATGTATGATTCTGTTATCCTGATAAAGCACAGAGGCTTTATGGGTGAAAAGAAATCAAAGACAACATGTGCAAAAATGTGCCCCTGCCCAAGAGCAGCCAAATAATGATGAAGTGACAACAGCAATTTACACACCGTGGTTATAAACTCTACTGTACTTAATAATTTTGTTATTAGTCATCTTACCATGTTTATTCTTCATAAAAAGCATACATATTGCAGCATGAAGAGAAACAGTGTTATATCCTCCTTTCTGAAAACATCAGAGTCCAGGTCGGGTCACACCAAAGAAAAAAAAAAAACAAAACAAAACCAAAAAAAAAAAAAAAAAAAAAAAAAAAAACACAAGAGAACAGGCACACAGAAAGTTACCCATCATATTGGCCTCCTGCACAGCTGCACGCCAGTCATTATACTGAAGCTATTCTTGGGTTGACTGCTGTCCACAGTGGGTACAGCAACAATTCAACAGCTCTTGTCAACAAATGCAGCTTGGAGAAGATCATCAGAGGAGCCCACAACGTTATATACCACCACAGCATATTCTACTTTTGGCAAAACAAAAAGCTTAAAAATTGTTGATTGGTCACACAGGTTGTCTGTTCAGTTTTACTTCTGTTCAGACAACCTTCTTCAGAGCACAGTATACAGGCAGGAAGTGAAAATGAACAAATAGAGAGGATAGTCTTAGGCGGAGAACTTTCTGACCTACAACAATAAAACAAAAACATTTGACAAAAAAGGCAGAAAACAATTGCTGAAGATTTTCAAATCCGCCTCGTGCTGTTTTTCCTTTTCATTACACTATTGTTTGCTTGTTTTCATGTTCAGCTCATCCAATAACCTGAGGCACAACATCAAGTCCACTTTCTGAACTTTCACAGCTTCTCGCCACTTGCCTTTAATGGTTTACCTCACAAAAGGAAGCAGCAATTTATCTTTTCGTCATACAGAGGAAATACATTGTTGAACGTGGATCAAAAATGACAATATATTATCAATAACCAACATTAATCAGTCCCTATCGCCAAAAAATATTAAGACCAGGGAAGAGTGGTGGGGAGAGCAGAGCAGTAGCGCCTTTGCATGTGCGCCCGTCACAGTACGGTCTGCCTTCCATGGGAATGTTAAAGAGAGAGGAGGGGGGGTAGAGGAGAGAGGAGGGGGAAGGTGAAGAGAGGTTGGAAGGGAGGAAGGACAGAGGAGAAGGAGAGAAGTTCACCAGCCCTCTCTGAAATCTGTTGAGTGTGTTTGTGCATCGTGTGTGTGTCCTATCGGTATGACGCCATGTTGTGTTTTACTCCCACTCTGTGGTGCCCGGTGGTTTGGAGGTCAGATCATACATGACTCTGGAGATGCCTGGGATCTTCTTGATCTCATTTACCATCTTCAGCACCACCTGGGGAAACAGACAGGAAAAAGACTTTTAAAACTCAACAACTACAGAGAAAAATTTAAACATTCTTCATTTAAATAATTTTTGGGTCAATAAAGTTCAATCCCTGAACCTAAATTGGTACCTAAGGTGGTAAAATGAAGGTGCCAAGTCTAGGAGAACACAAAGCCTAAATTATTATATACCTCTTCTGGGATGTGGTTGCCAGGCATTGCAGGGATGCCAGTCATAAAGTCGCTGGTGATGAAGGTACGGACCACCACAGAGCGCCTGCAGGACGGCTGCTTTTGCAGTGGGTCACGGTCAAAGTGCAGGGGGGTCAGGATGACCGGCATCTGGCTGATCTTTCCAGAGTAGCCTGAAAGAAAAAGACAGAAACAAGAGATCTTACTGCTGCTTTGACAAATTTTAATAACCAAAGCTACAAAGTAGCTTCACTGTCTGCGGCTGAATCTGAAAACGTGTTTTAACATAGAACCTGCCCATGTGACAATGCCAATACCTCAAGCATGATTTCTTTTGTTCACAATTACCATCCAATTGCCACCGTCACCATATACCAACAAAAAAGATTAAAAAAAAAAAACAACCCTAGAGTCTCCATCAATTTCTTGGAGTTACAAAAGGTTAAGGATTAGGCCTCTAATTTAATGTTTCAATTAATAGATTTTGGGTTTCCACAAAGAAAAATGGTCACATGGCTGTAAGACCTATGAAATGGTGATGTTATGCTATATACAGACCATTTATATGAAGTGTGGACACAATGATCAAAACTATCTTTGAAGCCAACCCTTTTAATGACATCTTAATTTCGCACAATGTGAAACCAGAGCAGTCAGGAAAGTATAGACATGCTACAAAAGAAGTCTTCTCAGTGGAGAACATAGAAAAATTCTCAAACAAACATTTGGTTTGCCTCTAGAGATGTGAAATTCCCCTTGTGAATGCAAGTATGCACACAAGTGCACTATTCTGGTTAGTGTATGTGAACATTTTAATGCCAGGCTTTGTAAAAAGGAGTGAATGGCTATTACTCAAGCTGCTCTGACATATTCAATAATCTGTAATGCTTCAATACATAGGGCTACATTAAAACATCTGAATTGACTTGGGTACACACACTTACCAGACTCTCTCAGGATAGAGTGAGCTACAAAGTCAGCCTGTCTGAGCGTGCTCAGAACGCCTGTGGTCAGGAAGGTTGGAGTAATGTCTGTTGGAGGCTCCTTCACATGGGATCCAAACACATACACAACTCTGGAAAAAGAGACATGAATGAATGAATGAGTCTGTGTATTCTACTGACCACTGACAGCACTGAGTGTCTAACGTGGCATATCACTGAGGAGACATGAACAGTGGAAAGATTTGTGTGTTACCTATTGATGCTATGGCACATGCGAGGGATGAGTCTGGCCAGGAACATGAGAGATTCCCAGTGTGGGGATTCTTTACTTGTGACGCCGCACACGTAACTGTAGGACCGGCAATCACCCTGAGACAGAGAGGGAAATTATTTGACATATCTTTAAAACTAAAGTCTTTACTGAGATCCAAAGAAAATACAACAAAACAAAATTTTTTTTGTTTTAAGTTATTTTTTTCAGGCTTTTTATGCCTTTATTCTAGATATAGTGAAAGAGAGACAGGAAAGTTGGGGGGAGAGAGAGAGTGAGAGAGAGAGACAGAGGGGATGACTCGCAGCAAAGTGCCACATGTCAGATTTGAACCCACGGCCACTGCAGCCAGGATTCAGCCTTAATGGTATGCGCTCTACCAGGCGAGCCACCAAGGAACCCCTTCTTCTTTTCTTTGTTTATTTATCAAATAAACAGTTAAGTTTCTATAAATAGGTCCGCATTATTTGTCTGTTTTCATTCAAACAAATTCCCCAGACAGTGGAACGTGCCTGTGTTTGTCTACAGTCTCCTGTCTGCCCCACAATTTGAGGTTTAGGGCAAATTTAAAATTCTGGTTTCAAACAGGAAGTAATAGGACACACCCACACACACCCACACAGTCAGTGGATGACTGCAATGTTTGGCTGAGGAAAGTGGTCGTAACCATCGTTCCCTCCTTCACTGAAGGTCAGTATAAACTACTGGAAAGTGATGGGGTTTTTTTTGTTGCCATGTTTAGCATTTCCAGTACACATCAGAGATCAGAACAGTCAACAGAGCAGGAAAAAAAAACTAAAATGTGGCACAACAGTTAAATCAGATCCCTCCCTTGGCTGGACAGAGACACAGTCAAAAAGTAAAACTGAGAAGCTTTCTGTGTGTGGGTGTGTCTCGTGGTTAACCTCTAAATTATAGTTTTAACACAAGGACACAAACAGAGAGTGACACATACTGTTTAAAGACTTCACTGCCCTTGAACCATTCATCACAGTCCTACAGACATTTGAATTTTCCACATATATGCAGCAGCACAGATACAGTTTATTCAACAAACAAATAAGCTATATTTGGACAAACTCTTAAAATGGACACTAAATTTTTACTTGGGCCTTTAAGAACCACAGTAGCAAGTCTATTTTAAAAGTATACTGATGAATGAATTTATCCCTGTAAGTACTGTCCACAGAACGTATGAGAGAAGTTGATGTGTAGACTGTAAAAATGTGTGGACCTGAAAGGAAGACTGTGTAAACTTTGCTAAATAATGTCTCTTGTGGTATTTAAAATATAATGTTAAGTGCTTAAATATAGTACAAAATTAGCATAAGTAGAAAAGAGTCTTAAAATCCTCAAGTTGTCTCAATCCATCTTACAAGGTTTGTATATGGTAATAAAATATTAGCTTTGCCTAATGACTGAGCTGTGAGGTTCATCTGAATAGCTACATTTTTATAACATTATTATAATAATAATTATTATTATTATCATCACATTCTTTTATGGACTGATTACTGATTCAATGGGGCAGAGAGCAAACATAAAGATACAGAGTGACAGTTTAGGTTTGATGAACTGGATTACCTGGACGCCAACAGTTTTGATGGGCAGCAGGAAGGCATTGAGTGAATGAAGGCTGGTGATCTGCATGAGCTTCTCCTCTTCCTCGTCCGATATGCATGACTTGACTCTCTGCAGCAAGGTATGGGGCTGGAGGGGAGAGAGGGTGAAGCTGTTTGTTAATATGGTTCTGTCTATGTCGCGACTCACAACATGATACGCAGATAAATAAAATCTCTCTAATGAAATGTCACATGGGTCTTCAAAAGAGCTTAAATAACTTTTGAATGTTTAATGTTTAATTTCTGTTCTTGATGTGGTCTTAGTGTGACTTCTGCATATGGGCTCCTTTCCTTCCTAGCAACTAAGTGAAAAACAAGGTACCAAAAACAAACTAGAAAAAAAATGATCTTTAGATCATCTTAATTATTTGGCTTTTGGTGCAATGTGGCCAACCAACCAGCAGAGGCTGTGCATTATTAACTCCTTAACCAGGCAGAATAAACAGCAGCCAATGTCTTCTCATTTGGTGTGTGGGAAGAGATTCCACTGTACTGATTATTTGGCTGCAACCAGCTACTTGATGCCTTTATTTCTAGATTTTGTGACTTTCCTGGGGTTATTCCTCAGGAATCTAGTCATCTCGTTGCCGTTGTGTTGATCTGCGTGCTACCTCAAATATTTGACATCAGAATTTACAGTATCAGCACTAGCTCAGGGGACTATTTTCAAAAAGCAGTAATGCCGTTAATAAACAAAAATGTGCATGCTCGACTGCAAACACTGACATACAAATTGGTGTATCAGTTTAGACTGTTGAATGTATTGAAAGACAGGCATATTCAAATGTCTTGCCATTAGTTGTAGTTACATAAATTAGGATTCTGTCACTGACAAATTATTTTATGATCTCCACTGATGTAGGACATTAGCCAAGTAGTCATTAGATTTATTATGTGTCTGTATTGTTCTGACCTTTTTGATGCTGGCGGAGAAGTCTGTGATGATTTTGAGGATGTTGTTTGTTTCAGCAAAATCCTTACAGATATAAGGTTCCTCTGCACAAATCACTCTGATGGACAAACCAGGACCTAAAAGGCAAGGAGAGAGGAGGTGCAGTTAGAAAATACAGACGTGATGTGATTGAATAAGTAACTGATTACACAGGGGAAAGAGAGTCAGATGAGGTGGAGACAATGACAGAAAGAGATGAAACTCCAACACTGCTGAGCATTATGTTGATAGAAATCACTTTTGTGCAGCTTTGTCAGAGCAGTGACATCATAGGCGTGTGTGTTTATGTACTTGCCAGGGAAAGGGTGTCGAGAGACAATCTCCTCTGGCAGTCCCAACTCCCTCCCCAGCGCTCTGACCTCATCTTTATGGAAATCTTTCAGTGGTTCAATTACTTTTCCCTGGAGGATCACAAACAAGTGGAATCAGCATTGCAACAGTGGGGGGGGGGGGGGCTTAGGGGTTACATAGTTGTGCATTTCTGAAGAAGGGCTGAGCAAAAAAAAAAAAAAAAAAGCAAACACACACCAAATAATATATGAGTCCAAAACAGCTAATAAGGAGGAGAGTGAGTGTTTGTCTTCACATGAGCTTCAGTGCTCCTTGGAGTGTAGTGTAGTGTAATATTGAACCACTCACTAAGACTCAAGACTCGCTGAGGGATGAAGGCTGTATAAATCCACTTGTATTAAAAAACTGATGTTTATGCATTTGCCATCCATCTGTACAACTGAAGTATCAAAGTGTTTGTCTGCTGCAGACTACTGTAGAAACTATTGGTGCTAAAAAAAATAATTCTGAAATATAACCAGTAGTCTTATTACACGCCACTCATATTGTCTGCTCCAATTTCCAGTTTTTACCTCAAGTTAAAAGATTCAGAGTACTTTGGTGTAAATCTGCTGCAGGCATTCATTCACAGGGGAATTTAAGTTTCCTTTTACAGCATCTACTGAATCATCTACTTATCCACTGATCATGTCCATACTCTGAAGCAGCAGAACGTACCAGAGAAATTGATGTCAGGCATGTGCGCGTGTGTACAGTACCTCATCTCTGAGTTTGCGGATGAGCTCGGTGTCATTGTGGTGTGTTTTGATGACCTCTGCCTTGCCGCTGGCGAGGTGAGAGGCACTCTCGATGAGATCGGGCCTCAAGGTACCCTGGGCCAGGAAAACCTCCTCTGGCTTCAGATTCATCTCGCCTATCACTTCATTTGCCACCTGTGAAGCAACACAATGTAGAAAAGTCAGATATAACAGTAAACTAGTAAATCAAAAGACAAATTATATAGTGCAGTAATATACTGCAGTAAGAAATTCAGCTGAACTGACAATGTAATAAATTGTAAAATAAACAAAAATGTAATAACAACAAAAACTTTATTACACAGCATTTTTCATTAAACAAACAATCTATTAAAACCTCATACTCACTTTGACAAATGTGTCTCCAATAATTTTCCTTTTCTCCTCAGGGTTGGTGGTCATATTTAAGGTCTTGCTGATGCGTTTCCGCGGCGTCCTGTCCTCCTCAGAGATGGGAAGGGTTGTTGTTCCATTATAGAAGGTATGAGCTGCATTCACCACTGAAGAGTGCGACATTTTAAAGGAGAGAAAGATAGAGGCAGAGGCATAATAGCTCAGTATCCTGTTATATTTGGGGCTGCAACAGATCTTCAATACTGATTAGCCATTTAGTCTACAAAATAACATAAAATAATCAAAATTACCCATCACATGGCAATAAATAGTGTAATAAAAAGTTTAATTTTCAAATAATACTTTACAAGTGTTTTTTTTATTTCGCTTCATGAAGAATTCCTATTAGATCATAATTTCTGAAACAACTGTGTATCACAAGTTTTTATTTCATTATGGCTACATGATCTCAGGTCTTCCATTATAAAGAATTTTTTTAAACTTGTAAGGTCTTATTGTACCATCTCTGCTTCATCCCTACCTTTGAGTTTGATGCCCAGCTTGGTGAGGGCCTCCTCCACACTCTGACTCTCCCTCTTCCTCATGAAGCCATTGTCAATGTGAACTGCTATCACCTGGTCCTGGTTCAGAGCTTTGTTGAGGAGGGCTGTGCACACAGTGGAGTCCACTCCGCCACTCAGCAACACCTGAGGATATTCATCAGAAAGTCTTTAGAAGCAAATAGAAGTAAATACTGTGAACCACTTGCCGGCAGCCAATCACAGGGCAACCACAACATCTACTGTATATGTGTATTTTATGCTTAGGTAAGCTTCTCATTTTCGCAGTCATATTTTCTTTAATATATCTGGTGTTGCACCTGCTGGCAAACTGTAAAATATTTAGCCTTAGGAAGAGATAACTTCAGTCTGGACACTGCTTTGCTTCTAATTAGCTGACTACCATCTCTTGGGAGTCTCACAACCAAAATGCCACTTGCCAAATGCTACAGCATGAACACTCTACAACAGAGTGGAGTAACAAATGGTGAAAGATGTAGCCTCCAACTGGTATTTGAGAAAAAAACAAGAAACAGTGGCTGCAATTATTTCTTTAAGTATAAATCCTGTGCCTGTTTCCTACACTCATTTATCGCCTTCACATTCCCCTGAGATGAAGCCCAGTTTGAAGCCGCTCAGGGAGTCGACTACCTCTTTTCAGATAGAACAGGGTTTAATTTGAGAGTTTAATTGGTTCTACTTAACTTCCCACCACTGCTGCTGTCACCACTTTGTGAGCATTCAACACACTTCACACTCAGCAACTCAGCGTGCTTTAGACTTTTAGTCATACTATCTCCCATTGTAGGTTAAAATATGCTGAGAATTTTTTTCCCTTTTCATCCTTTTTTTTTTTTTGTCATCTCTCTCCGCCTTGAAAATAGTTTACACACCAACACACACTCATGAAACTTGGTGCAGTTTCACTCACCAGTACTTTGGATTTGTCCACTTTTTCTCTGATGTCATTGATGCAGGACTGTTGGCGGTTCTGTACGGTGAAGTTACTTGTGCATCCTGCAATCTCAAAGAGGAAGTTACGCAGCATCTCCATACCTCGCTCCGTCAGGTCAACTTCAGGGTGAAACTGTGTCCCGTACAGCTTCTTCTGTTCGTTAGCAATCCCTAGCGGGGAAAATAGAGATGTGATGAGGGGACAGTTAACGTTACCACTTACTCTCTGTGAATGGTTCTTTTAAATAGCACAGTCATGTACAATCACTATAACATAAGCCAAAGTTAGGATTTCAGGTGGATGTGACAAGTCTACAGACTCAAAATACAGATTAAACATTCTTCTCAGAGAAGCTGTCAGGTGTAAATACATAAATGCAACATTTCTAAAACAAACAACATAAATAAATACAAGTGTTTCTTTAGGACTTGCATGCACCACAACCTGATACTAGATTAAGTTTATCAAGGTCACAGCCTATCTTACGTGCTACTCACCAGCAATGATGTTTCCTGATTGGGCCACCACCTTAAAGCCATCAGCCACTTTATCCACACTGTCTCCATGGGTCAGCAGGACCAGTTCCTCCTTCTGAAGGCCTCTGTTAAGATAAACAGACACACAGATGTCAGAAGAAAACGTGTGGTGTTCAATAACATGGCATATATTTTGTTATATGTATGTAGTTACTATTTTCAGTGTGTGCATTTGAGTTATGTGTGAGAGGCATCCAGTAATAAAAAACTGCAGGCTTCTATTTTAGACTCTGCAGTATTTGTGTAACAACCACAGGAAATGATGTGACTGCTAAAATGCTTCTGCAGTTTATATTGTAAATATGGCACTGGGACAAACCCGTCGAGCAGTAGTGTTTTATACACTGTCCTCAGTTTATTAAGAGAGGAGATGGCAATCTACATTCACTGATTGATCTGTTATTGATTTCCTTACTCTTCATTTTAAGAAATGGGTAACAGGAGGATTACATCGACAATAGCAATACGCTAAATCTATGTCAAGTGCAGTTTTTGCTGCTATTATAACACAAAAATTAGTGTTTGCTTCCAGATCAGCCTTCAAGGTGAGACACACAATTGACCCCTAAAAGCATAATTGGTACTTACAGTAGGATTAGTTTTATGCAGAAATCTCTGGCCAGATTATGCGATGCTAGATGGCCAAGTTAACTATTTATATTGACGAGGGAGCTGTCCAGGCTCTGCAGATTGGATACACAACTGGCCTCAAGTTTCTGGTAGTAAAGCTACCGAAATGCAGTATATGACTTGGCAAAAACTTCCAAAACAACATTCTGGTGGGTTGCAGAATACAGTAACAATATGGAGCTTCAGTCACTGACAGCAAATGCCTGTACAATCTCATACACAGTATAAAAACAGCTCAGTCCAAGTGTTCCGCTGTGGCTTTTCAAGAGACACTGAATGTTCTATTTAAAAGTCTTTTTATTGCAGTAGTAAATATCAGTTTAGTAGATGCAACATACACCATAACTACAAGAACCCCATGGCTCTCGACATACAGTCTGCATGGACTGGCAAACACTGGCTGGAAGGCCAGTGATTCAGTGATTTGAGTGATTCAGGCCAGCAAACATTTTCTCTGTTACCCAACCTTTGTTCAGTTTTAGAGTGATAGTGTCTTGCATGTATAGAATTTCTCTATACATTGTCTGTCAGGCCATGTTATTCTTGCACCAAGTGCCATCCTCAAACTCCTACTATGTTTCTCATCAGTCTGTCATCTTCTCTTTCCAAATACTTCTGATTGTAAAATTGAAATTGCAAGGATGTGCAAGAATGTGCAGCTTCAAGAGGACAATCTGACTACTGTTTATACTGACACATAACCATAATATAACACATTAAAAGAACATCCTGAGAAACAATATTACCTGTAGAGAGAACAAGTGTTGTCGAGTCCAATACTGAACACTCCATCTTCCCTTACACTCTTTTTGTGTACTGTGCCCCCAAAAACTTTATTCATCATCTGTAACACAAATATACACACAGCAAAGTTAACACTTGGAGACGGATTACATTTTAATGTGATTCCCAACATTGCACAACTGCCTGCAGTTCAGAGAAATGTGCTTGAGAAGCTGCTGGTTTTAATTTTCAGGCTAGCTGGGAAAACTGAGTGAGCAACGCTCTCGTCTCCCTTAGCTCATGTCAAAGTGCCCTTGAAGAAGGTGGTTAAGTCCCTTTTGGCCCAGAAGAGCTGGACACCAGCCTGGAGTACAGTGATAGTAGAGTGCAGTCACTCAAGAGTGAATAAGTGTTACACACATTTCCTTCAGCAAATGCCTTGTGGAAGCGGGATGGTCTCCCTTATCACTACAGCAGCTTCCCATTGTATCATTTTACTGTTTGTATGTATGCATGTACACGAATACCTGCATCCCATAGCAAATCCCAAGAACAGGCTTTCCTATGGTGAATATGGCAGGGTCAAACCAGGGGGCATCTTCTGCATACACAGAGGCTGGACCTCCTGAAATAATGATTGCCCTAAAGAGGGTGAGAGAGAACAATCAAGTCAAAAATTATTACAAAACAAATTCATAGACAGAATATTGTAATAATGATGCTAAAAGGAAAAGCATCCCTGGTGCATGTGCTCACCTGTAGCCCTGTTCTCTGATAGCAAAGGCCGGGGTCTCTAAAGGAAGGATCTCCGAGCGTACGCAGAGCTCTCGGACCCGTCTGTCGATCACCTTGCCATACTGGGCCCCAGCATCCAGGATCGCCACCGCCCCCTCACATGACCCATTCTGCTCTGCGCTGCTGATCTCCAGCTGTAGATGCACAAATTCAGAAAACCACACACATTGTCTTGTTTAAAGTGCCAGCAGAGTCTGTGTTGAGCTGAACAGACAGAAAAGTATACTGCACATCCACTATCACTTTTGCACAGCAGTGTTTACTTGGTGACAGGACCTTGACTAGGATAATATTGTTTTAATGCTGTCCTTAACAATTTTGTGTTGGTATATGGTAACCCAACCCTTCTAGAGCTAACTGTGCTGCACTCTGACCCCCCCTCACCCAATGGAAAATGTGACTCAATAAGGCTTAACACAATTATGGACATGTGAGCTACAACACGGATGTCACTCTTGTGAAGCGTGCTGCAGCAATTCAGCCCATAAGTAGAATCACATGAAACCCACAAGTTAGTCAAAGGTTATCAGTGAAGACCCTTCTACCACAATATACCGTTTCTCTTCACCGCTCTGCATGTCACGGTGTTATTTTTATACACATCTGCGCAGGGGAAAGTTTCAGAAACAAATTTCTGGCAGCCGATTAATCTTCATAATACAACGAAACTGGGTAGCAAGAGACGGCTTGACGAGAAACATGATCCCACGTGGTGCTTTGAAACACTTCCGCCGTTGATGTTTCTAAAAACAACTTTGATTAGACATGCTACCCACCATCTCTCATTTATAATCTAAAATATATATATAACCCTTAAACAAACTGCCGTCAATCACAGCAGCTCTAGCAGTACAACCACTAGAAAAATACCAGACAGTTTAACAGCAAACTTTACCAGATCAGCTGGTGCAGCAGCGGCGGCTCCGGTTGTCAGACCGGTAACCGCAAGTCGGCTCATACTAGCTTTGTGACGACGTTAGCAAACCTGTCCGTTAACGTTAGCTCCAAGTGTGTGACAGTAGTCGTTTGGAATACATTTGTTTACCTTTAAAATGAACGCCAAAGCTATCACAATACAACACTTGCGGTTAGCAGCACTGTCATCACAAAGTGACTGCCCGGCTAAAGCTAGGTGACGAATTACCAATGTAGCATGCTAGCTCACGGATACTATAAACAGTAGTAATTAGCATTAGCCTGTTAGCAGGTCGCTAAGTTAGCGGAGCTATGCTAAAACCCACGCGGTGCTGGGAGGCAAAGGGTCTTGGAGGGAGCCTCCATAAGAGGAAGGCGCCCATGTTTAGTGGTGAAATATGTCAAAGATTATATTTATGCCAAACATCACAGAAATACCCTGCCCGGCTGGTTAGCAGCCATGAGCAACATGTTAATGTAACTGCAACAGGCAGACAACAGCGTACTCATTGCTCCTCAGCGGCACTGGTGGTAACGTTACATGCTCTCCTTAACTTTCCCCCCGAGGTGCACACAGGCCGTAATTAACCGGGGGAGGGGGTACACCAGCAACCAGGGTCCTAACACGAAGTCTACCGGGTTGCCCAGTACCGGAGCCGCGGGCACTCCCCGCTGCACTGACCTTGCTGTCTCCGTTGCACAGAGCCATGGAGGACTGCCGTGTTGTGGAATGAGCTCTCCCCCTCGCCTCGGTGTCCCAGGTCTCACAGAGAGAGACAGCTACTGGTTAGCTCCTGGCTCAGCACGCCGACTACTGTTTCAAAAGCAGATTGTGTTGTTGGTTTGAGGATGGGCTGTCACAGTCTCGCCTCCTCCGGTTGCGGAATAAGTTTCACAGTGGGAACAGACTAAATAAATGTGTCTGGGTTTCATGGGTGGAGCGCAAAGTTAAATATAAAAATGAAAGTGAGGGAGAGTGGCCTCTCGGGGGCTGGGACAGCATAGGAGAATTTGACTCAAGGTGATAAAATATGGGTGCTTTTTGAAAAAAAAAAATTAGATAGTGTTTAATAGTAAGGTACATCAGTGATTCTCACAGGGGTGTCCAGGGGGATCTCCCAGGGACATTTCCGATGTCTAACCCATGATAGTTAAGGGTTTCCAAAGAAAAAATATAATTAGTAACATTTTAGTTGCTTCATAATGTGTAGGAATGTGTCATGATCTGATGATTTGCTGTCACAATACTGACAGAATTCTGACAAATCTAAATTTCCTGAGACAAAACTGTGGGTTAAGACAGTGGCACAGACTGGTATAATAAATAATTAATTTTATATTGCATTATCAATACTTCAAATAATACATTTCCTGGAAACTCAATTGATAAAATGCCTGCAGATAAATATCTGATAAGTACTTAATCAGTAATCCGATAAAGTCAGTATTAGGATAGAACATTCCTGCTCATTTATTTTCAACATTGCCAGCAATGGCCTAATAGAAACAAAGGTATTTAAGGAATGGCTCCCTCAGTATATGTTGTCATATCACCCAACCCTAGAGCCTACCCCTCAGACTCTATCAGGCAGTCAGCAAGTATGTGTGAGGAGCCCCTTGTACTTTAACACATCTGCTGCACTGTATGTTCCAGGTGTGTGTTACACAGAGGGGTTTTTGTCTTCACGTGTCTTGTTCAGACAACTTAAATTAGAGTATAGGTTACTTTTAGGATCATTGTTCACATGTGGCTTTTGTGTTGAATTTTCTTTTTTAATTATGTGGTTGCACTATCCATATTTTCACTGCATGCATAAGGATTATTACTTGCTCTCTGAAACCTTTAGCCTGGACTTCCCTGCATGTTACAGAAGAACATTACAGTAAAGACACAAACAGACAGATGTCAAATAATAGATTAAATAGATTAAACATGAACCCTGAGAGTGTGTCAAAGAAACTAGTTTAAAAAAGGGCTGACCCCTTATGAAAACTAGTTTCTCACAGTGGCAGTGGTTTCCACTCTGGCGATGTGAGAAAATGTGAGAAAATGTGGAAAATGCGTAGTGAAAATTCATTTGAGTCAATCTCTTTCAAAGCAGGCATTTGGACAAGTCCCACAAAGCATAACTAACAAATATTCAGATGTGATGATATCAGCGTCATCCTGTGGAAGATATGATGAATAACACACAACTCAGACAATTATTACCATGGCCACAGAAAATACTCATGTGGTTGGCTGGGATGTGTCTGTCCAAATTGGCCAAACTTAAACCATCTTTCTAAATCAGTGCACAAAGAGTATTAACATAACCATAGCAACGATGCTTCTTTTTCAGGTAACTCTCGCTGGTGAAACAGAGGTAACAGTGAACACGGCCAGATTAATCCATCAGGGGACTACACATCTTAAAAGACCTGTGGGCCCCTATTGACCCTGTGTTCATGCACAAGGCCCCTTTACCAGACAGGTACAAGGTAGCAGTAATGAGTTGATATTGTGTCTTTATTAGCACATATTCACAAACAAATTTTCAATTAATCAGATAACTATCATTGTGACATAAAAAATATTGGGCCATTTGGGCCCCTGAAGCCCTAGGCCATGGCAGAATTAACCTCTCTGGGGGTCCAACAACAAATTTTTGATGTTGGGCCCCCAGAGAGGTTAATTGACCAAATGACCCCTGCTATACATGTCAGTTTCATTGTTTCCCCTTGCGCCCTGTAACCAACCAGTACCTACACTAGCACAGAGATGATTAAGCTTATTAATTGATTAGTTGTTTGACAGAAAATTAATTGACAACAATTTTGATAAGTGATTAATAATTTAAGTAATTTTAAAGCAAAACTGGCAAAAACTTGTCCCAAAAATGTACTGGTATCAGCCACTCAAGTGTGCATATTTGCTATTTTCTATTTAGTTAACTCAACATTTTGGACGGTTGGACAAAACCAGACACCAGACAATATGTTTTCTTAAGCATCAAGGAATAATAATAGGCCTTTTTCTACAGGATGTGGCCATAGTTACTATTCTACTTCAGTGGTGCAAATTTCTAATAAAGTTGTAATTAATCACATTATGTAGACCCAAACTATCAATGGAATAACCGGTTGGTGATCCAGCCTTGAAAATTAGTAAAGTGGTTGCTGGAATAAACAACAGCTTTTGTCTGTGACATAACATCAGAGGCATCCTGATATTGGGTGAAAATAAGGTGTGTTATTTTATTCTGTATTAGAACATTTTGTCATACTATTGACTATTGACACTTACATAAACCTTCTTACATGGATACAGCCACAGCTTCACAGGGCTCTTGTTATCACATGCTGATCCACCCAAATATGCCTGTGTGTTGTCACATGCCATCTGTGAGGATAAGCAGCTTCACATGCACTCATAGCAGCCACAAGACAGACCGTGCTGTCAATCATTACTCTAACTCAAATGTAGTGTAATGGGTACATCATGACCCCTTCTAGATCTTTTGATCAAGGAGGTTTCAGCACAGTTTTTGATTTTAGATTTTTAGATTTTAGATCCTTTTCTAAATGTTGAATCCATTTTGATTTCACTGTAATTTCTTTTTGTACACATTAATTTGGATCCTCAGAGTTAAAAACCAACACCTGGAAGTCATTCTTTTGTACCTCACTGATCAGGATCAAGGACAAGAAGAGCATAAGCGGATATATATATAAGCTCATACAGAAGCCATTTATCAACATGAGTCTCGAAAAAGCAGTTTACTTCACATTTAATTGTAATTAGTAAACAATACTGACAGATGCAAACAATGGGTCATACAGAAAAATATGTTTGGTTTATAGGCTATCACTTTAACCCGTAGATCTCTCTTTCCAAAACTGATACATATCATGTCTGTTTAGTTATGGGATGTCTATCGCATTCGACTGCATATCAGGTGAAAGTAACAACATGCCAATGAAAGGAGCCAGTGTATTTTTTTTAAGTGTCATGACTTTGTTAATTTATGCTTTAATTGTTGGGGTTAACTAGGCCTTTTGTGGAACTGATGTAGTTATTAGTTTAATATTTCCAACCTCTGAAGATACAACCAGTATTAATTATGCCCCAAAGGATCATTAGCCTGCCAGTTATTGGCTGTGTGACCACATTTCTAACAATTATAACTTTTGTTGTGAGAACATTTGAGTTGTGAGGATATTTTTTGTCCAAACCAATTGAAGGAAATGATTTCAAACTTGAATTTTATCATTTGAGCTTAAAAGTGCACTTTATTGAATTTCTTACTTTTCTTTTGCTATATGTTGTTGTTATTCCTATAGGCTATAAGTTTGCAGTGTTGGAATAAGTTTACTCAACTAGCCTACTGTAGATAAGTACAGTTCTGAGGTAGGCGAGAGTATCTAAGTCAAGTCCAGTGTAACCCTAGAGCACATAAGTGTGGAAAATAACATTTTCATTTTTAAGTTTACAAGATCATTTGAACAAGATCCCCAATAGGCTTCTATAAATACTTCAATATTTAGAATTTTAGCCTGTTATTTTTCTGCGCCAGATGCTTTGAGGATAGAACACTATATCATAATCATGGATTGTGCATTTAAAGGAGAATCCAACCCTTTTTAAGAATTCACATTTCTTATTCCCGTGCCCCAGAACAGATTGGTATTTATATAATATTTGTGAACGTGCTGCACTCTCCTTTAAAGTTAGAAACCAAAAGAAGAACCTTAAAATGTGCAATGTCATCCCAGTTTGCTCTATAACAATGAATTGGGTTCTGACACTGAGGCCATAAAATGTTTGTCTAATTTCTTAAACCAAAATGAGTGTTTTATATCTTAAGCTTCATGTCCAATTTAAAATCAGAATGAGACCTGTTGGGAGGTACACTACACAGCTACTGTAGACTATGGGGTTAGCGAGGTAATGCATTTCTCACAGGGTCTCAAAGTAATTTCAGATAGCCTATATAACTTCAGTAGCCCGACTGATGAAAACAAGGCTTTGACTTTTTTAAGAATATGATATTTGCAAGTCTACACTTCCAGAGTATGTTTTTCTACTGTATTGGTTCATAATTTGCACTAATTAGCTCTTAATGTGTTAATATGTTTAATGTTCAATTAAAAAGTGCAATCCACATTTTCATTTGTCACTTATGCCAATGAATCGATATTTTAATGGAATACACAACTGTTGACACCGAACAAAGTCAGTGCCCCTTGTGTTGCCTGTGGAGGATTTGAGGAGTTTCTGTGATTTCAAGCTCTAGGACAGATAATATAGACTTAAGCTCAGGATGCTTTGAAGCGGGACACAATTCATTCGTGTTTTTGACACGTCAGCTGTAGGCGCCGGACACATTTGGATGCTGCACACGCCGCACTTCCTGCTTCTTCTGTGTTGATGTTCACCGATGTAACCTGTTTAAAGTCAAACGGTAGTCACTTTCTGGTGTTTCCTATATTTGTTAAGCCGCCGCCGCCGCTCTAAACGTAGAGTAGATGTGATTTCCAGTTGACTGGCTCTGTAATTCAGCTTTGTGTTGTGTTGGTTAATTTGGCATGCTATCATCATCACCAGGTATGCATGAGTTCATCCACTTACTGTCTGCTTGTTTGATTCCACTTTTCAGTCCGTGCATGTCGTTTGTACGTCTTTATATGTGCCCCAATGTTATATAATAGAATGGAAATTTAAATGTATTTGTTTTCCTTTCATATAATATAACGTGAGAACTGGTCGTTTGAAGGTGAAAGCTGCTAACTTCAGCAGCTGAAGTTAACATTCTTTGATTTATCTGCTGTATAATTACACTTAATTACTTTCTGCCAGGGACTGATGGTGTTCATGAGCCAAGCTTTGCATTCGTTTATGACTTACCTCACACACTGAACAGTCAGTGTGCTATTTGGTCCACTAATCTATCTATCTATCTATCTATCTATCTATCTATTTATCTATCTATCTATCTATCTATCTATCTATCTATCTATCCAAATCTATTCAGTATCACATTGTACTTTGTTCCACATGTACATTGTATATTTATTTTTGCTATCAACAACCAATCTGTAACTTTCAGTTTTGTTTCCTCTATGGCTCTACTTCCTAAAAAAAGGGTGATTTTTAATCAAATTCAAATTATTGAAAATATTCAGAGGCTTGCCGTTAAATCAGAAATCAGTTTAGTTGTTTCAGCAGTTGTCTCATCTTTTTCTTCAGATTTGCTGAGGGCACAGCAGGTTTGATGCCCACTGCTCCAACATGGAGCCCTCAGACGTGGTCACACACAAAAACGGGAGGCAGAGGAAGGTGGCGGGTGCCACCCTCCCAGATGAAAACATGAGGTACATGAACCGGGGAGAGATGAGTGCCTCTGAGCCAGATATAGAGGATGAGGCAGAGGGTCTTATCAGAGGGTCAGATTCAGAGGACAGGAGGCACAGAGTCCAGCCTGGGATCCGTGGCGAGCTGGGCAACGTGTCGCTTCTCCTGTTTCTCTATGTGCTGCAAGGGATTCCTCTGGGACTGGCTGGCAGCATCCCTCTGATCTTACAGAGCAAGAGCGTCAGCTACAAAGACCAAGCCTTCTTCAGCTTTGTCTTCTGGCCATTCAGTCTCAAGCTTCTCTGGGCACCACTGGTGGATGCTCTCTACTTCAGCAGGTTTGGTAGAAGGTAAGAAATACATTTACATTATCTGTTTTAGTTTGTATATGCATGTTTGTGCCGATGATTTTTATACCCACCCCTTCCTCCCACCTCTTTCTGCAGAAAGTCATGGCTGGTGCCCACACAGTACCTGCTGGGCCTCTTCATGCTCTACCTATCTGTAACAGTCAATTCACTGCTGCAGAGTGAGGGAGGACCAAAGGTGGCAACACTTACTGGAGTTTTCTTTATGCTCGCTTTCCTAGCAGCCACACAGGTAAGCCATCATACACACTGTGACATAAACGCATATTAACAAAGAGAAATACACTTTGAGTAGATTAGTAGTAGTTTCTTTATCTCACAACCAAAGTTATCTCAAGGCACTTTTCAAATAGAGCAGGTCTAGACCGTACTCGTTACAATATAAAGAGTATATAAAAATATAAATCATCCAATTGCTCTACCTTCTCTGTCTCCAAGGATATAGCTGTGGATGGCTGGGCTCTGACTATGTTATCCAGAGAAAATGTGGGTTATGCATCTACATGCAACTCTGTAGGCCAGACAGCTGGCTACTTCCTGGGAAATGTGCTCTTTCTGGCTCTGGAGTCTCCTGATTTCTGCAACAAATACCTCAGAATAGTGCCCAAGGACACAGGCATCGTTACCTTGTCAGGTATTTCCTATCCCTGGCATACTAGATCAAAAAGACAAATAATAATAATTTTTGTGATAATGTTGTAGATAACTGGGGTAACTTTGGATGATGTAGTTGAGTGAAGTCTGTTTTCCAATGCTTTCTGTTGCTCTGCTGCAGACTTCTTGTTCTTTTGGGGAATGGTGTTCCTGGTTTCCACGACACTGGTAGCCATTTTTAAAAGGGAAAATGAGCATGGCAAAAGAAAGAGGAGAGTCCAGGAGGAGACACAGGGTGTTATGGAAACCTACAAGTTGCTGTTCTCTATTATCAAGATGCCCACCGTCTTCACCTTTTGTGTCCTGCTCCTCACTGCTAAAGTATGTGATCATTTCTTAATAAATATTAGGTTTGCCTTTAAAATAAAGGTTTCAATGTGTTGTCCTTGCATGTTTGCCACCTGACATGAGAATCCTCTGGGACTTAAAGATTTCTTGTGTCTCTTCTCCGTGTGTTTCAGATTGGTTTCTCTGCAGCAGATGCAGTGACAGGTCTAAAGCTGGTGGAGGCCGGAGTTCCCAAGGCACAGCTGGCATTGCTGGCGGTGCCAATGGTGCCTCTGCAGATTCTTCTACCAGTAGTCATCAGTAAATACACCGCAGGACCCCGACCTCTGGATGTCTTCTACAAGGCCTTTCCTTTTAGGTTGTCACATGCACAAACACACGCATATACACACACACACACAGGCACACAAACCCATGCATACACACATTCATTAAACTAAAAGCTAACAGAGTGTTGTTGTTCTGTGATTTCAGGTTGCTGATAGGCCTAGAGTATGCTCTGCTGGTGTGGTGGACCCCCAGTGTAAAACAAGAAGGAGGGTTCCCTGTTTACTACTACAGTGTAGTGCTGCTTAGCTACGCTGTGCATCAGGTTTGGTGTTTCTCTGTTATTACCTATATCATCACCCTTTTCTCTTCTTCCTTTACTCCAGTCTTTGACATAGTTTTTCCAAGTGACACATAGCACTTTGTAGAGTATTCTTAGGGTTTCCAAGTCAAATATGGTATAACAACAAACAAAAGGTTTTTTTTCATGGTCAAATTAAGTTTGACATTACATATGAGGAAAAGCACAGATGTAAATAACAAGTGAATAATGGCTGAATTCCATTTAGCTGTTTCAGTTTCAGGGTCCTGGTATTGTGCATACAGGCTCACTGTCGCACTCATGACCTACTGGGACTCTTGAGTAGAACAGAGCCATTGTTGATGTTTTTAGTTTTACCTGTGCTTTTCCTGCTATAACAAGTCAAAATGTCTGCTGTGAAAAGGGTTATTTTTGTGTTGTTTGTATAACTGTATAAATTCAAACAATATTCATAAACAAAATGTATCTACGTAACATGTTACTAGGTTTATCAGAATATGATTTGTACTCACTCTAGTTGGTGTTTTGTCACTGTCTAATTTTTTAGACAGTATAATGTCCAATTTATCACTGCTACTCAGCTTTGGACAGGTCAATTTATGAATCAATTTATTTTCCTTAAACTGCCCCCAGATGTCACTGTGCAGCAGAGGAATACATAAAATATCAGGGACCTAACTGAATGAGGGAGATTTTGTTGTGATATCTGTTATATTTCTGTTGGATATGCAAAAAATAGCAGAGATGTTAGTTATGCAGTATATCCTTTTTCTAGATCTCAGATTTTTGCCATTAAGTTATTAGGATCGATAAGAAAGAATAAGGCCTTGTTGTTACCCCAGGTGGCGTTGTACAGTATGTACGTGGCCTGCATGGCCTTCCATGCCAAAGTAAGTGACCCACTCATCGGGGGGACCTACATGACCCTGCTGAACACAGTCACTAACCTGGGAGGAAACTGGCCCTCCACTGTGGCTCTGTGGATGGTGGATCCACTGACCTCTAAGGAGTGCCAGGGGGCTGTCGGGCAGAGCTGTGGCTCTCCAGAAGAGGCAGGGGTAAGTGAGCAGCGGAGAGAGTGGAACGGCATTGCATGTTCTGTATGTTCTCATCCAGAAAGTAAAAAAAGTGACTGTTCTTCTTTTGTCCCTCTTCTCATCTTCAGCTGTGTGTTAAGGAAGGCGGAGCTTGTGTGACGACATTGGACGGCTACTATGTGGAGTCAGTGGTGTGTGTTGTGATTGGTTTGACCTGGTGGGTTTGGTTAGGGAAGAAAATGAGGCGGCTGCAGGAACAGAGCCCCGCTGCATGGAGGTGCAGAATCAACCAGTGACACTCTTATCATCAGTATCACAGACTCCTCTTGATGCATTGTACCTCTGCATATTCTGCTCCAAACAACATAAACAGCAGCTAAATGCTGGACATACTCCATTCCATCCTCATCTGTCTGGTTTAGTTCACCTGGTCCTGCTTTAGCTGATCGGTTCAGAAAAACACCCACTCTCATACTCTCACCTCTGTCACCTTGACGTATATAAATCTGAAGAAATGCACCGTTGTTGTTGTAACAGCGTCCTCCTGAAAACTGAAACAATAGTTCAGACTGGTTAAGTACTTGTGTAGAAAATTTAAAATTGTTGTATTTTTTCCGCTCAAACCACATTCTGCTGCTTGAAATAGCTTAACTGAACCAGAGCTGGGTCAAAGAGTACTTTGTTTTTACATTTGAACTTGAATGGATCACCTGATGGTTGAGTTTGATACTTTTAATCATCCAAAGACAAATGGCAGGAAAAAGAACTTCTTGAAAGAGCTATCCAATGTTAAGAGACCTTGTAAAAGGATTTTAACAAACATTCAACACTGCACATTCATGTTTATCTCCCTGGCCTGTGGTTGTTTATTTTATACTAAAGGACGCTAAAGGGAAAAGACAGGGATAACGTGGAGCTATACTTGTCTGAACTAACTGTGTTGGAGTCTCCCCACACTTATATACACCTACAAACCGTCTGAGCAAAATGTGACTGTGCAGCCTCACTTTGGTATTTAGGTCAAAGTAGCAGGAGCACTTATATATAATAAGACGTGTGTATTAAAGTGACGGATTTGAGATATCTTTGTGTTCTTGGCTCAAAACTATGTGAACTGTCATAACACTGTCAAATTCAACCCATCTGGTAATCCAAGTTAGTTAAACCCAGAGTAAAAATAACTTCATTTGCTTTTTGACTCCGATCTGAACCAATATTTTTATGATTATTTAAATGTTTGTTTAATTATTTTTCATTTAAAGTTATTTGTGCCTTGTTTGGCTTTTCAAAGTCTCTTGACTTTGAAGACATCCAGTGACAAGTCAAAGCCAACCTCATTTGAGCTGCAGTTAAATAATCCAGGCAGGGAATGTTAGTTATTTGAGGATGCAGTTGTGGTGATAAACTGTAGTCAGACATTACACATTACACAAAAAAAAAAAAACATGACCGTTTTCATTACTTCAGTTATTTCTCTTTTTTATTCACATACTCCAGAGTCTGAAGCTGAGTACACATTCCTTGTGAAGAATTTCATTTGCACAGTGATTTATGCATATTATATAACCAATATCACCAATGAGCTGAGATGTCTGAAATATTAAATGTTTTTTTGTTGGAGCAATCCTTTATTTTAATTTGCTTTATTATGATTAGCTTTACCCATCGTGAAGCCAACTCACATCTTCAACAATAATATTGGACAGTGCAGCTTATAACTGTTACAACATCTTGGTTATCAATAGTATCTGGTTGGTAATGATTTTTGCTGAGGTATATCTTCTGGTATGATTTTACTCTGTGTAAATGGTGTTGCACTGCATATTTCTACTTTTTTCACTGGGGTCCTAGTAGGTCTCACTGAGTCTTTTAGATGCATTTACTGTCGTGATACATTGTATGTGAAAGGCCAGTGTCCTGTATACCAATTCTTAATGAAACAGTTTATTACAGAAGTCCTGATTTAAATTTTAACATCTATGAAGCCTGTCTAAATCTACAAGGATCCCTTGACAGATCCCATCTCGGTGTGACTGTGACACCAGCCATCACTTAACACTACTGAGTTAGGCAGGTATGAAGCTTTCCTGAGAAGCCTTGTTCTAGATGGGAAGTCTTACTGAACATAAATAGCACATGATATAGGCCTAACTGACAGATTTGGGGTTTTATCACTTGCTGTGGCCTGTAAAAAAAAAACCACAAAATTTCTTTCCCACAAAATAACTCAGATCCCAGACCAGCAGCCTGGTGAGAAACTTGATAAGAAAATGCTCTGCTAAGGTTTTGCATATTGTACATAGAACTGAATGTTACAGTATTTTCTCTAAAGCCAGCCTTGAAAATCCAACTGCTCTGTCAAAAGTAAACATTGAAATGCATAATCTGGGTTGCTGTAAGGAAAGAGAGGATCATTTTTTAATCATTTTGTATAATTCCTGATTTCTTTTGCATACTTTTGCTGTGATGTCTATTGGGCCTTTCATGTTCATTGGTACCAGGTTGTCACTGTAATATAACAGCACTTCATCCTGAGGGCCTCTCTGCCATTAACAGGGCAGTATGTTTGCTGTTTGGACTTTTTTTATTTTGAAAATTTTATAGTAGATCGACTGTTTGATCATTTGTGCAACGTATGCTTTGGTTTTTATAATATTCTTTGATTGGGGTTTCATATTCGTCCGCTAAATTGGCTTTTCGTGGTGGAGAACTGCCGTTATTTCAGTTACAGAAAATTTGTTTTTTAATTTTTCCCACATTACCTCATAACCCTTTCATTTAACTTTTCTTTTTTTTTTTTTGCACAATTTTAGTTTACAATGAGTCCAAATCCCCAATCATATGAAGGAAAAGAACAGAACACGGTGACTGTATAGTGAGAAAGGTAATGAACTTTGACATTCATAGGATGCAATATTGATCAGATTTGAAGCAAATCTTGTATGTAATAAAAAAAAACAATATGCACACGTGAGGTCTCTGGTTGTTTTTTCTGAAATTTTGAATAAAAATGATTACCAGCACACACAAAAGACATGATGCGCTCTATATTTTTTTGCATTTTATTATAATTTTCCTTGCTTTTCAGGAATTCTAAAATTTCCTTCCTAAACAAGTGAATGCTGATGCAAGAGGCTGTAAATGTTGTCCCAAGTTTTTGGAGCATTAAACCCCCACAACTGAAGACAGTGTCCAGATCAACTGGTGCTCCAGTCTCCCAATCTGAACTCACTCCAGGGGTCAGATGGGGTCCAACTCTCCTGTGCGGCCATAGGGAGGGTGGGAGTGGGGGTTAGGGTTTGTCACACAAGCAGCACCGAGATCAGTTTGACGTTCTGGGTGGTGATGGTTAAGTGAGTCACGCTTACATTGCATCAAGCCGATTTATGTCTGGTGATGCGTCAATTTATTCCAGTGATACATCCCATAGTGAAGTTAACTCGAAGAGCAAATAAATGAAGTATGGATCCCACATCAAATAAGCCATTCCACAAGTCATCCACAAAATTAATGCTCAAAGAATGTAAAGTCAACATGTTTTTTCCTTCTTTAATTTAGGCTCTCTGATTCATCATTGATGTATAGCAACGTTAATGCCTCCATTCTGTAAAACACCATAAGACGTAAAGCTATATTAGTCAGTACCAAAACCTCTGCTTGTCCGCTGATCACTACGATGATTTTCTTTTCTTTTCAATCATGACCCTAATTCATATCATTTAATTTAGAGCCAGGAAGCACTTTAGTCTGAGAAGAAATACTGTCAGAATCTCCCAATGGAAGCAATTTCCTCACTGACATTCGTTCAAATAGCACAAAGCACTTTGGATGTCATCTTGTGTACAGTAGACTGGCAGCATTTTAATCGCTTGCATACTGTGTGATACATTATCGCCTTTGATTTCCCAATCACACAAAGGCTGTAGCGCCTCAAAAGATTTCCAGTCCTGGTAGTCCATTTCAGAAAGAGGGTGTGGGGGGTCAGAAGACAAAGGTCCTGAGGACCTGAGGTGTCGGGGGAGAAGTGGTGTGATGGTGATGTCGTCGGTAACTCTTAACTGCAGCACGCCCGAGTCCCAGACCCACGCACAAACTCCAGCTCGTGACAGTATATGTAGTGTGCGGATGTGCAATTTTTGATTTTCATTGTCTCTAGCATCCATATCTTTTTGCTTTGTTTCTTAAAAAATATCAATAAAGAAAAAAAAAAGAAAAAAAAAAAAAGTCAAGAAATAAACTCTCCTAAAGAGGCGGGGTGGGTCATAGGTTCATACGTAGATGTTCGGGTCGTTTTGCCACGACGGGATAGGCTTGCTGCTTCATCTGAGCCAGGTTGACCCCGGTGGGCTGACGGATGGGAAGAGGGGCCGAGGCCTCGGAGCTGGTTGTGACATCCATCTGCTCTGGGGTGGACAGTTCCATGGCCTGGTCCTGAGGAGACTGGAGGACGCTCTGTCCTCCGCCAGTGAGGAGGGGGCTCCGGGGCCAGCAGTCCCCCCCTGAGAATTTGACTGGACTGAACATAAACACGGACGATGTCACCGAGGTGTGTTACAAGGTTTTTCATCTATCTTAAGGCTCTTCCTGGGTCATTTTCCACAGCAAAGAGTGGATTCAGCAGCGGTGACCAGAATTGAAATGTGATATTTTTGAGGAAAAAAAAAAAGTGCGATTTGTGTGTTTTTAGTCAGCATGAACTGGTGAAGCACAACAGTGTACAAGCAGTTGTTGTGGATTTAATATGCATTAAGATGTTATTTCTGAGGATGTAGCTGCTACTATGGTAACTACAGATGTAGACTACTCATTGATATTAACTGTAGAGAAGAAAACAAAAACAATGAAACATATCAAAATTCATACCAAACAAGTGACGCCAGGTGTCAGGACCTAAACCAAGACCCGCTGAGGACATACGGTACAAGCTCTACCAATCAAGGGCATTACCCAGAACGTCATTTCTCAACACAGACATGTTTGCATCTGGAGTGCCAGCTGCAGCAGGTGGGTTGACATACCTGAGAGGTGTTCTTGGGCTGCCCATGATCCGTCGAGGTGAGCGGATTTTTGGCTCAAATGAGAACTTTTCTTTGATGTTTTCCAGGACTGATGGAGCAACATATGTGAAACCCTACAAGTGAAGCCAGAGGGAAACACCGGTAAAGTTGGTGCATGGTCATATATTAGGGGTCGATTGCAGAGATGGTTATTCAGTCAGAAGCAGTAGTGTGACCCCAATCTACGTGTTTTCCATACAGAATAATATTTCAGTAAAAGTTAATTTTTCTTTTCTTTTTCATTTCATTGTTGATGTGAGAGACAAATAAAAACTTGAGAAAATGTAGTTGCAGAAGTTACCAGGAAGGCTTGATTGGCACTCTCACTGAGGGTTGAGTCATCGGGGCTGTCGACAGGCGTCTGACTGGTGAACTTCGAGTCAAACTGACTCACGTCTTCGGCTGATTGCTGCACAGACAAGAGAAGGAGACAAACACATGTGAGGAGTAGCAACATGAGCAGATGTGTCTGCAGGTCTGAAACCGGAGAAGACCTGGGTTCAATTACTGAAACTTACTCAGTTGGTTTCATCTCGGCAGTTAACCAAAATTACACCCTATCTTGATCTCACAAGAAAGACTTTAAGACATAAGCCACAGGTAGCATCATTTTTGAATCGACACTGATCTAATTTCAGCATTTAACATTCTCAAATTTCCCACATAAAGCTACAAAAACAAGTAACAATTTCAGAAATCCTTTCCTCTGATACTCACCAGGAAAGGTCTGAAGGGAGGCTCCACTTTCCGAGCCAGCAAATCCTCCCAGTTGATGTGTCGAAAGAAGGGATGAGCCTAAAAAGGGCCATAAAATGGAGCATTTCAGCTCTGGGAAAACTTAAATAAACTGTCATTCATGCACAAATGCGTCTTACTTAGTGACACGAGCTTGTGTGTGTCCAGGCCGTGTTGCATCGCATGCTCTCACCTGCACCTCTGTGGCGTCTCCGACTCCCGCTCCCAGCCGCGATGAGGCGTTTCTCTTCAACAACTGAACAACCAGCAGTCAGATGTCAGAATAACACACAACAACTCCACCTTTAGTTTTTGTTAATTAGTATTAGTATTATGAGCTGCAGAACAAACAGTAAATACCCGTTTGAGGAGATCTCTAGCTTCTTGTGTGAGGTAGGGCGGGAGGCTGAGCTTGCACTTCAGGATCTTGTCAATGGTCTTTTTTCGGTTTTCACCAGTGAACGGTGGCTGCAGTGCGAAAAAAAAAGAAAAAAAGAACAGGGTTACTCAAATATTCCAAATTATGATTCAAATTTTAAAACAGCGGATTAACGTGAGTGAAGCAGAAAGCATTTTTATGTTGCAACTTTTTTAACTGACCGCTCCTGTGAGCATGTCGTACATCAGAGCGCCCAGACTCCACCAGTCCACTGCTCTGTTGTGTCCGCTTCTCATCAAGATCTCTGGAGCCCTGCAACAATGTGAGTGCACATTTCTCACTAGTGCATTTAAGTTGAAACGGTAAAGACCATCAATGAGCATGAAAGAAGCAGGAGAGCACAGGTGTAGGAAGCATATGTGTATGTAAGAGAGATGCTACTAGTGTGACCGAAGGAGTGATGAAGAACATGAAGGAACTCGGCTTACATGTATTCGATGGTACCACAGAAAGTGTGGGTGACTGTGCCGTCATGAATGGACTCTTTACAAAGCCCAAAGTCTGTCAGCTTTACATGGCCTGGAAGGAAATCACCACTTAATCAGACACAGGTATTTACTGTTGTGGTGGATACACATATCTGCAATATAAATCACAACGAGCTCAAATGGTTAAAATTGCTACTTATGCTTTACTGTGCATACGGATGGTAATATTTTACGACCAAATGCAAATAAATTGAAGACAGTTAATAGAAAAATGATGCCAGAAATTCACATGCACACTCGTACGCACGCACACACACACACACACACACACACACACACACACACACACACCTTGGCTGTTGAGCATGATGTTCTCAGGCTTTAGGTCTCTGTAGATGATGCCCTTCTGGTGCAGGTGGCCCAGAGCCATGGAGATCTCTGCCAGGTAGAAACTACAGAGACACACAGATATGCATATGTTATTATTATACATTATGCCTGTGGTGAGTTTAGCCTGTGGTCACTTTCATTTTCACCTGTGAGTCTGA